CACTGACGTGACCTATCAGCATATTGCATGACATAGTTCAACGAAATGATCCTAATCACGTTGCCATGGCAACTCATCAAAGCAGACCAAAACAGCAGACATGTCGACCAAAAACAGGACGACGCAGCTTTTAGCGCGGGAAAGTTATCCTTAAGCCAGGGCCCTGAGATATGTTTTTATTATGTATATTAGGCGCAAAATAACACCCCAAGGAGGGGTGCTCATTTTTATGAATAATGTGAGGCCGAGCTGAGGGCCCGACGACCAACTCTTCCGCCCCCTCATTTTTAGAATGGTCCCCACTTCTTTGATGAAAGGAAAGTTATGTTTTAAATTTGTATATCCCTAAAAACATTGATTTAAGCATCATAGTAGTCATGCCTGACGGATCCAGCGGGGTGGGGTGAAGGGCACAAGAGTCACGTTTTCCTCCGGGTCGGAGACTAAATGCGCCTCTAGGCGCCCGCCAGCCTTAAGAAGGCACTGAAACTGAAGGCACTCTTTTGTAGCGGCCAAGGGCGGCCGCACGTGTTTTTGGCTGTGGGGGACGGGTACCGGGCGAGTTATGCACGAATCCGGTGATTCCCGTGCCTCCGGAGCTTTTCAACTTAACCTCTCAAACCTTTGAGCGTATTATGCCCCCCAGGTGTGTACAGTCTATTGCATTGTATATCCGCTCAGCAATTACTAATTGTATCTGGGGGAATAAACGGAAGGCCTGAACAGCGTCCATACCACCTCATTAACGCCACGCTGCTGCATGTCTTTTACTTAATGGCAACAAGTTATTCCATGAGCTAAGCGACCACCTGAAGTCAGCCCCAAGACCGCTCGACCGGGAGAATTTCAGCGGGCGCCTGGTGGCGAGGCGGTGCATGTAAACAGCACAAGAAACGATCATATCGTCGTCGTCGTCGTCGTTGTCACCGTCCGCTCATATCGTTCCTCGGCAAAGTGGTGCTGATGACAATGGCAATTAAACATGTGGAAATTAATGATTCCGCTAAGAACTATACAGCACGAAGTTTCGATCACGCAAGGTCACCGTTATACACCCCGGACGATAGGAGTATTTGACAGCCCTGGCGCTGTGATAACATTACTTTCTGAATGCGTTCAAGCTGTGTCGCACTCCGGTCAGCCCAAGCAATCGCACGATCAAGAATTCTTAGTCTGGTAGCCGGTGCGAAAGTTTTGACAGACCGGATCAAATGCCATAGCGACGATACACTTAAACAGAAACATGCCTTTTGGTAGCAAGATACAAGTCCAAAGCGACTCTCAGAATTTTTGCAACAAGCGGATGGACGTAACATCTCTTCACCAACGTAAAAACAGCACCCAAATCAACACTATACCCTGCATTAGATCCTCTGCATTAGATTGGTAAAGTACAGACATGAACACAGCCACGGCTCCGGGAAGCCCAACGGCCAGTGACAGACGGCTCCAGGATGAGGCCGTTACAGTGCGACAATGCCCGCATATTACCCATATATATATATATATATATATATATATATATATATATATATATAATATGGTGTGTGTGTGTGTGTGTGTGTGTGTGTGTGGTGTGTGTGTGTGTGTGTGGTGTGTGTGTGTGTGTGTGTGTAAAACGATTTGTAATGAATGCACGAGAATTATCATCATCATCCAGTTGGTGATCGCCATGCGGTCAGAGATCTGCTGCTTGATCACGCTGTGAGCAAACGGTGTGATTTGAAAATTCGTTGACAGACGGTAGCAGGATTGATTAGACATTCCGTTGGGAGGGTCTGCGGATAGCCACTCATCTGCAAATACGTCCCGAACATGCTATACCGTAAGGTCACGTCGAATTGGGCCCTCTTGATGTGCTGTGAAAACATCCTTAGACTCACGAGAAGCCCAACTGTCACCTCTACACCAGCCAGTTATTCTCACGACTTCTAAAAATGGACGTTTTTTCAGCCATACATGTGGCTCAGACTCAAAAAGTTGTGGCGCATTGGATTGACAGGACAGGTGCGCGTGCTTTTTTTCGGAAGGCTGCACCTCCAGCGAAAAAGCCACTATGATAGAGTCAAAGCAATCAAAGCCGAAGCTGGGCCTGATGTTAAAATAGTGTTTGAATGCGACCAAAAGCAGACAAAAGTTGCAGCTGGCGATCATCAATGAATGTGCGTTGAATAGCCCTGAACATTTGGTTGCTGCTTACCAGGTTGACAATTGACCATGAGCTTGTGGTCTTATGACGTCACTATATAATGAGCTGAAAACGTCTGCGACCATTGCTATCGTCGCTTAATCAGCTGATCGCCGCACACAGGGGCTTCAGCGTTGCCGGGGGATGGGGGCCGGTGGGTGACGAGTGTTAGCAAAGGCGTTATTAATTGAACTGCTATGGCGCAGTCGCGGTAAATGAAGGTGCGAGAAGTATTCATAGATATATGGCGATTACTGATGCCATTATTGCACGGTTGGCGCTCCAGGTCCAGCGCATTCAGACCATTATAGGAGTGTAAGGCGTACACCGGAAACCGCACAATCGCACACGTGACTTCACGGTTTCGCAACTGCAGACGGCATGACACGTGTGAACATCCATCGCTTGTAGCATGTTTTGCTGTGAATGAATTCCACCATCTACCTTGTACACAATGCTTTAGCACATTATTCCAGTGAACTTCCAAAAGATTGTATGAAATGTCATTTTTACCACTGCAATTATGGTTCCCAGTGACAGTAAAATTGTGGGCTAACTTGTAACAACAATGGCTCAGTATGAGATATCACGTCAAGTACTGAAGGGCATTGTGGTTATTGGCATTTACACTGGATATCAGATTATACCCATCTACATGAGATGACAAGATGTCGGGGCACCAAGTGATGTAGCATAATATGTTCCCACATACCATGAGGAAAAGACTGCTGGCTTTGTTAGACTGTTCATTTAGAGTGCAATAAGCATCCATGTGTACCCGTTTTGATTATAAGTTTGAATTGGACACTTTGTTATGATGAATTCCTAACATTTCTGTGATGTGCCACAAATATCATCACTGGCACAAATGGTTCATGAATATGGACATTCCTCATTCCCCCATTCAAATATTCCCTCTCTTTTGAAGCAATTGTAGGCAATGAGACAAGAATGTCATTGGATAGAACTCATTAACAATGAAAATGTTGGTAAGAAAATGCTGCTGGTGAATAAGAGATGCATTCACTGAAGAACCATCAAGGATCCAGCTTACCCCTGCTCAAGAGTTGGTATGCTGCTGTAAAACAGTTTGGATCACTATTCAAACACTAGGCTCCAAAGTCAACATGCAGTCCCATTTCATGTGATTGCATACCAAAACATTGGTATGTTTTTTTCTCCTCTTGTTATCATCAGGAGTGTCATAATACTAATACACACAAGCTGTATCACCATTTCCAAGTAAGGCTGACATTACATCACAAAATTGATATGAAGTGGTTTGTAAATTGTAGGTTGCAGTGTCACACCTCATCATACTCTGGCAGACCCCTTCCATTATCATGACATAATTATGAATTACTAATAAATGGTAATTGTGGGACCCAATGTCATTCTATACTTTATCATGAAATGGCAGACTCCCTCCTTTATCATGACATGGTTATGTATTTCTAGTAAATGATGGCATGAATAAACAACATGCTTCTTGCTCTCTGGTTTATATTTTGGAAGAGCAGAATTTCTGCAGTTTTTTTCTATGACCACATTTGGAGCACTTGTAATTCCCACTATAGAAGTACTCCACATTCAGTTAACACCTCCATGTAATTAATTGCTTATTAATTGCAATTTACATGCCCCAGAACTTCTTAGCAAGTTTTTGCACCCTTCCCCCTGTTCCCTGTCATTGTCAGATCTGGTGTTCAGATGTAATGCAGCTGACAACAACAAAGTAGGAAATATAACCTCTGGAAATTATGGGTTTTGGGTGAGGGTTATACCAAATGCAGATTTTGTCTAATGTAAAAGAGGTAATGATATATGTCAAAAATGTGAACTAAAGCTGTTTAGTGGATATCAACATTTCATTTGTATTCCCAACACTGCAGATATCAGAAACTGCTTTCTTCATTGGGCAATCATGGCTGATCTTGATTGCCATTACGTTTTCTTCCATTTCTTTGAATGTTCATTTGATTTATCATCCATCTGATCAATCTTTCAATTGACTGATCTTCCATCTTTTTACCATGATTTGAATGTTTCAGTTTTAAAGATTTATATCAATTCTTTGAAATGGATATATATCTGGGATCAGAGCTCACACTTAGCAGTGCTTGTTGTGTGAGCATTGATTGTGCAATTCCCGGTTGATGACAGAATTTGATGGAAAGGCTTAATTTGCCACAATGCTCTGCATGGTTGCCTGGCCCCTGACATCACCTGACCTTTGTCAGACTTATCATATCTTTGCACAGTGGCTGCCACCAGTTGCAGGCAAACTCCTGTCAGTGGCAAATAGTGAACACCTAAAGCAACTCAAACCGACACTTCCATGTGTGACTGGACCAGAAAACAGGGGCTCTAGCCAATTGAGCTACTGGAATGGACTAGATTTGAACTTGAACTTGGACTTGAAATTAAAACAACACAACATCATTTATTTATGTGCTAACCTACATGTCTGTGCTTACAGTGTTGGTGTCACCAGCCGCTTATTTGTAAGTTAAGCTTTCTGCACCATGGGATCTGATGGAGCAGCAGATAGAATATCACAATCATGACAAATGCAAGTTCGTGAGCATCCGAAGCAGTTGGTGACATGCTTTTGACGATCGGCTTCTCAGCCTGTCCAGCTTGAGGCACAACAGCCACAGACCAAGCATCCCCATCACCTGAACAGCATCGCATACCATGGCGCCACCGACCCGGAACCGGAAGATGGCCTCCAGGAAGGAGATGCGGCGGGAGCTGCGTCAGCAGCGTCAAGGCCGCGAGCCGGCGGCCGGCGAGGACGCCGCCCCCTCCGCCGCCGACGCCGGCCGGCCTGGAGCCCTGGACGCCCAGCAGCTACACCGCCTTCAAGGTGATCCTCTCGGCGCGCCTGTGCGCGGCCATCTGGAATAACATTCAGGACTGCGACGAGACGTTCAACTACTGGGAACCGACACACTTCCTGCTGTACGGCCGCGGCTTGCAGACCTGGGAGTACGCGCCGCAGTACGCGCTCCGCTCCTACGCCTACCTGCTGCTGCACGCGCTGCCAGGCTACCTGTACTCGGCGCTGCTGCAGAGCAACAGGCTGCTGGTGTTCTACTTCCTGCGCTGCGTGCTCGGCCTGGGGTGCTCTCTGGCCGAGGTCTACTTCTACCGTGGCGTGTGCCGGGAATTCGGCGCCAACGTCGGGCGACTTACCCTGGGCTTCTTGGTGCTCTCGGCCGGCATGTTCATCGCTGGCGCCGCCTACCTGCCCTCCAGCTTCTCCATGTATATGTGCATGCTGTCGATGGGCGCGTGGTTCAGCCGCGCCTACCCGCTGGCCATCTTCGGTACAGCGCTGTCGGCGCTGGTCGGCTGGCCGTTTGCCGCGCTGCTCGGTCTGCCGATCGCGCTGGACGTGCTGTTGCGCCAGCGGCAGCCGGCGCTGTTCATCAAGTGGTCGTTGGTATCGCTGGCCGTTCTGGTGGCGCCGATGACCAAGATTGATTCAGACATGTACGGCCGCCTGGTATCAGCGCCGTTCAACATCGTCGCCTACAATGTCTTCTCCTCCACCGGCGCCAACCTTTACGGCACGGAGCCCCTCTCCTTCTACTTCGTCAATGGGTTTCTCAACTTTAACATCGGCTTCGTGCTGGCGCTGGTAGCGCTGCCCGCTTGCGCGGTTGTCAGCCTGGTGATCCGGCTGCCGCGTAAGAGCGCACTCTACCTGCCCAGCTGGCTGGCGCTGGCGCCACTCTACCTGTGGCTGCTCGTCTTCTGCGCGCAGGCGCACAAGGAGGAGCGCTTCCTGTTCCCGGCGTACCCGCTGGTGTGCCTGGCGGCAGCCGTCTGCCTGGACTCGCTGCAGAAGCTGTGGTACCACCTGGTGGTGCGCGCCAAGGCTGCGCACTACCTGCAGCGCACTGGCTGGCTGGCGGTGGCCGCGCTGGCGCTGTACGGCGCGGCCTGTCTGTCGCGCGTAGTCGGCCAGTACCGCGGCTATCACGCGCCGCTCGACGCCTTCATGGAGCTGAACCGGCTGGCGGCCGAGGAGATGCACGAGCCGCGCCGCCCCCTGCTCGTTTGCGTGGGCAAGGAGTGGCACCGGTTCCCGTCGTCGTTCTTCCTGCCGGAGCTCAACTGGCGGCTGGGATTCCTGGAGTCGGACTTCCGCGGCCAGCTGCCTCAGTACTTCACCGCCGGCGCCAACGCCACCCGGCTGCGACGCGACGGTTTCAACGACCGCAACGCCGAGGAACCGGGCCGGTACGTGGACGCGGCGCACTGCCACCTGCTGGTGGACGCTGACACGGCCGAGTCGCCGCGCCAGCCCAGCTACTCGCGCCGCGCGCGCAACTGGACCGTGCTGCACTCGACGCCGTTCCTGGACGCGGCGCGCTCGAGCCGCGTGCTGCGCGCCTTCTACGTGCCGTTTCTGACCGAACGCCACTGCCAGTATGTGAACTATAATCTACTTGTGAACAATGAGTGGCGTGACCAATTGTTCAAACGGCGAACGGTGGGCGAGTGAGCACGCCGGCGCATGTGGAGGACGCCGTCGCAGTGAGTGCGCGGGGAGGACGCCGTCGCAGTGAGCGCGCGGGAAGGACCCCGTCGCAGTGAGCGCTTGGTGAGGACGCCGTTGCAGTGAGCGCGAGGAGAGGACGCCGTAGCAGTGAGCGCGCGGGAGAACACTTTCGTAGTGAGGAAGCTTCATGATAGTGACAGGGTACTGGAATGGGGGGGGGGGGGGGGTTAAACCTTCAACCAGTGAAGGCTCGTGCGGTTGGTGCACCCATTCTACATGAGACTGATGTGAACTGGACGTGCGTGGTGTACACGTTGGTCGTGCTCGTTTAGCATATTGCATACTAGCACTGTATCGGTAATTTCGATATAGTGGGGTATGTTACGGCTCGGGTATTGCGAATCGTGGGAAGGAGGGAGATTACTAGTCACTGGTATATCGCTTGAATACGGTCATAGGTTGGGGTTTCGTTGACTGTGTGCATTGCAGTTAAGGGTCTTGGGATTGATGAAGCCACCGATTTGTTGTGATCCGAGTTCAGGACTGGTGCGCACTCATCGAGCGAAGAGAGGCGCCGAATCAGAGGCGCGTACGTCAGGTGTGGAATCCTGTTATGTCGTATAATGTGATAATTACGGACGACGCCACGGGCTGAGTGAGTCTTACCTGAGAATGAGGAGATGTTTGACCTGAGCAGCCTGGTCTGGCTGTCACGCTTAAGAGAACCTTTATCGACTTGATCTAGTACAATGCCGCTGGTGACTCCGGACTGTTGCTTAAACAGGCGGTATTTCTTGGAAAATTGCATCGTTGCTTGGATTTCCCCTCCCACTTTGGTTTAACATGGAAAAGGAAAATTCGTCATTACGAAGGCTTGAAAAGTGGGTCAAAACCGTGTCCAGACCTAGACGACTGGTGTCGCAGCTGCGTAAGCACACATTCTGACGACGTAAACCAGCTAACACGCGGTGTTGGTTTTGGGGTTTAAGGGCGCGTCGGCGTCGAGACGATTTTGCGTCAAGGAAAAGAAAAACTAATTATTGCCTGAGGGAAGTGCCGGTCGGTGGGAGGGTGGGCACGCGCTTTCTTACGCTTATCGCGTATGCGTATATTCTGGAACGTTTTTATTTGGTGCTACATGCCACTAAGAAGATAATTCGGCCCATACCTGAGCTATTTATCACCAAATGATGATGGTAGGACAACGGGGAAACGGCCAATGTCGCCTTTTGTCTCCTTTTCAGAATAGATCAAACCCAGAGACAAGAGATTGGGCGAGAGAATTACGCAGGTGGGTGGCTTTGTTTATTGTGGCCAACATATGCTCAGACTTATTGGGTATTATGCTACACTAACCACGACTCGCAAAACTTGATCATCGCAAATTCATCACTGTTTTAAGGTTCCCATCTTGCCAGATTCATCGCCGGTTTGTCCACAGGCTGGGGACGGCCTGCTGGATTGCGGTTTTCAGGTAGTGAGATGTGCAGGTTTTCTGCGTGGTGGCCTGCACTGGCTTTATTCTGCGCAGGATTCAGAACGATGAAGTAACGAGCTGGTGTCTCCTGTGTTCATATTGAGCTACTCCAAATCACAGGCGCCTCACTACGCTCTTTTTGTGCCCGAGATGGCGTCCGGGGGCGGACGAAACAGCGTTGATGACAGACGGCTGACGGCGGTCGACGCAACTGGAAGGGCTAACCCTTTAGAGCAGGCAATAGCATAATATCTCCACTGGCATATGCAGTAACCATGATGCAACACAAGTCTATAGGTCGAGGTGGCCGGGCCTCGCGATGGCACGATCACGCTCAGAGGTGAGACCGGTCGCCGCTCGGTCACACGCGGCTGGTGCCGCTGGGGCCGTCCGGACACGACTCACGCGCAGCGGCGGACTGGCGGCGCGAGGTCCACATTGCGCGGCGCGTCGTCTTCCACGCGAGCTGGAGACGGGCTGAGGCTGCGTCGATGCCGGCGATCTCGACGGTGTACCGCGCCGTGTTCGGCTCGAGTGGTGTGTGACCGTAGTTCTGGGCGCTGGTCCACGGCGGTCGCTGGTTCCCTCCGTGCGCTCTGTGGGTGCTGGGCTCGTAGCGGCTGACCGGGGCGGAGCGGTAACTCACCATCCTGTCTGATTCGCTGCAGGAACAACCTGGCCACGCGGCAATTGGTCCTGTGTCCAATTTGAGTCTGGAGATGCTTCAATACCACTGGAGTCTTTTTTATCCGTATCTAAGAGACCTCGAATCGTAGAATTGGTTCACCTGAAAAAAAAACAGGATGCGTAAGCGTTCCTGATTGGTGTCGTCACCTACCTACCACGCTTCTCCCTTCGCGCCGGAAGTGTCCGACTCGTTGGAACCGCTTCGCGGACTGCTCAAGAAGGAAGCAGAGCTCGAGCGAGTCTTAACGATGGCGAAGGACCTGATTTGCCAAGAGACAATGCTGGCGTACTTCGACCCCTGTAAGCCACCGGCTGTCCAAGTGGACGCCTCACAAAAGGGCTGGAGCGCCGACCTGGTCCAAAGCGAAAACCCCATCGCCTTCGCGTCGAAATCCCTGTCAGAGGGTGAGCAACGCTACGCCAATATAGGGCGCGAGCTCCTGGCACCGTGTGCGTGTGCAAGCGCTTCCACACGCAGGTGTTCAGTTGTGGCTCCACTGTGGAAAGTGACCACGAGCCGCCAGAAATTGCTCAGCTCAAGTCAAGAACCTCAGGGCGACACCACCACGACTCAGAGGATGTTGATACGCCTCCAAAACAGCGACTCGACAATCAAACCGGGGAAGATTCTGCTGATTGCGGATGGGCTGTCACACCTTCCGCTGAAGGCGTTGAAGATTCCTGTCGCCTCCGCCACGGCGGCCGCACTGGACGCACAGAGACGCCTATGGAAGACGGGGACGTCTTGGCAGGCGAGAGAGAAGTCATCCCCGAAAAATGCCACCCTACATCTTGGACAAGCACCCCCGATCTACGCGAGTTACACATGCGATCTACGCGAGCTACACATGCGATCCACGTTCAATCCATGGGTCCCTCAATATACACGTGGAACCTGTAACAATTCAGGTTGAGAAAGAGTCCATGGAATGGCTATAAAATGAGCGGCACGGGCGGCGTACTCGATTGTCATGTGACATTGTTCTTCAAATTTATGAAGTTCTGAATGCAACCCAAACGCCACGTCCTGGTAGCTATTGGCTTCTGTTTCGCGAAGAAAAGTGGAAAGAAAAGAAAATCAAGCAAATCGGTTTTATTCGGTCAAGTGGGATAAATCCAGTTATTTTTTAGGGTAGCCACTCATGAGCAGGGACCCTTTGTCACCTTGGTGCCATCGTCCCCCCCCCCCTCTACCAAGGCTCTGGCTGTGCCCCTGGTTACAGGGTGTGCACGTTTTCATGGAGCACCTTCATATGTCGTATGAGAAGATTCGCACCTATGGGGTGACCTAATGTCTCAATGTACACCCTCCCCTTGTTCAAACGCACCAAAAATGACCATGACCATGCAGATTCCGTACAGCTGTTGACCGACGCCCCAGGAACTGCACGCGGTCGATTGATTTTGTGTTGTGGGTGAATAGCGCATTTTCACTGGTGATTGGACATTGCAGACTCACTCGCCCCTATACGTCAGCGCTATGGTATCCGTGCAGCGGCTCACTGCCGCTGAGCCGCCACATCCCGCCCTGCCACTCAAAATAGACCAGGTCTCAGTTGAGCGGTAGCAGGCTCATCGGCACAGACGACGCCTATATGAAGGGCGGCTGAAAGCCAGATAATTCATGACGCAAAGGAATCTAAATGTTATGCATAGCAAAATCATTAAGACATTCTATAAGCTCGAAACACCATGTTTCCTCGAAAGAATTGCGAGGAGAGAATTGCAATCGTGTAAGGCACTGATCTAATGCCAACCATTCAACACCGTCGGTAAAAGATGCGTGTTGCAGACGTCGAACAACTACACCGAAACACCGATGTCCAAGTGCTGTGTCACAACGACGACAAACCCAAGAGTGCCTCAAGTTTCAAGGACCAAAAGGTGAGCATCCAGCTCCCACTTTTATGGACGACAGGAACATAGGCTTATGATGTATTCTATGAATATGGTACAAAGCGAGACGAGAGTTCATCAGGGACGATAACACATTGGCAGCACGAGGCACACGCAACAGCTCCGGACTGCACCGATTACCGGTCAAGAATGGTGCATGCAACGCGGAACCACTATACCTTTCGCGATACGGACGCGTATTTAGAGCGAGTGCGACACTGCGGGGCGATAACATTCGGTGGTTGCGTGAGCGCGCGCAGCGGACAAAAAGCGCGATCACCACTTGGTGACGTCACAAATTGAAGCCTGTCATCCTCTTCGCGCGCTAAAAGCGAACTGGAAGTGGCAAGTGCACTAAGTCCAACGAGAGATTCAAACATGACAATACTCAGCGCTATGAGCGGGACGCACACAGCGAATGATGATACAACTAAAACGATTACAAAACGTCCACCTCTATGCATTTTTGCCGGATTCGCCCAGCCAAAGCTTAAAAGACGAGCCAACGGCTCCTCAACTCTCGCCGCGACAATGCGAATGCCTGCCCCTGTATCGCGCATAACCTCGTCCAACACGTGACGGCGTCGGGCCGGCAGGACCGCCGCCGCGCTCGCATGAGATCACAGCCTTCCCTAAGCCAGAGCACCGGCTCCGCCGGCGGCCAGGCGCTGAGTATTCTTATCATCACGCGCGCACCCGCCACGTCCGTCCCACACCACAAGGCGAAGGCACTCGGTCGCGCCCGCCGCCGGCCCCGGCTCACCCGACAGACCTCTGCCCACCTCCGACGCCGTCGACGTCCGCGCGCGCTCGCGTCCGAAGAGCGGCCAGCGCCCCGCACCGGCCGGGTCTCTGCCGACCTGTCTCGGCAGGGAGCGCCGCCGCCCTCCCACTGAACACTGTATCCAGCCCGCCGCCCGTTCGCACGCCCCGCTCAGGAGCGGGCGGCGACGACGCGCGAGGTCTGCAGCACGCCGTCGAGCAGCTGCAGCGCGCGATGCAGGTTCACCTCCACCCAGCAGGGCGTCTCCTTAATGCTCTGGCGGCGGTAGTCGGGCCCCCAGCCCTTGACGAAGCTCAGCCGCAGGATGCAGAGCCGGCGCAGGTCGTCGACCCCGAGCCCCGCCACCGGGGCCATGGTGACGGCCGGCGCGATGCCGCCGACGCTGGCCACGCCCGGGATGTGCCCGGCCACGGCCGCCGCCTGCGCCGCCGCCGCCGCCGTCGCCTGCGACGCCTGCTCGCCGCCGTGGGGAGGAGGTGTCAGCGGACAGGCGCCAGTGATCGGCAGCCAACCCCACAGGCCAGACGGGGTCACACGAGCGTATGTGCAAGACGACGGCAAATGTCGTCACAGGTACATTTTCTTGCAAAACCGTTGGACAAGAATTGGAGAGTGCGTGAAGTTCCCAACGTCATTCCACCTACATATCTTCACACTAAGTAAGCACGGCCTCTTTACATGGTTCGCATGATCGAACAAGGTCTACGACTACCTCAACTGTAAGAGTAGAAACTAGCACAATTATTGCTGACATCACTGTTACAAATATACCAGCCATATCTTCTGGTTATACCTGTCTTGCACCCGCCCCGACCAAAAGCCCAGATCCCCTGTGCGAAGCCTTGCGAAAGACCATCCCCGACAGTGTCACGGCACGTCGGGGCCCGAGCCGACGAGGTACGCACCTGCTGCTGCATCTGCCGGTGACACTGGTGCAGGTCAAACACCTTGATGTAGGCGGCCGGGTAGATCTTGTGGACGGCGTCGCCGGGCGCGCGGCCCGCCTCTCGGTCCAGGTAGTAGCTCTGCACGAACACGGCGTGGTCGCTGAGGCAGCGCAGCCACACGTCGCCCTCGCCCTGCACATCCAGCTGCACTCCCTTACCGATGTGGAGTCTGCGGAAGAGACACAGGCCGGCGGGTCAACAGGCACCCCTGCAGGTGGCACGCCAGGCCCTACCAGCGCGAGGAGAGTACGGCCGGTCAACGGATATACTGTCGGACCACGCAGCAGCGCTCGCTGCATTGGTCTAACACCGTCGGTGGAGAATGGCCGGCGACACTGAATATGACTCCGATTCCTATTTCCTTCTGCATTCCATAGTAAGAACAGCTCCGTCGACTGAACGTCAGTCATGACCGTGCCCCGCAGCCGAACTATCGGAATGGTCTCCCACATCCGTCCTATAATTGGTGTCAAACTGCAGCCCCAATACCTGCACGTATAGCACACCTCGCAAAACTATGTAAAACAATGCTAAACGAATAATTGACAAGCGTCGTTATTATTCTCCATTACCCACGGACGAACAGTCTCCCTACTACCTCCAGGCCTTGACTGAAACAACTCCCAAAGCACACAAACGCGTCGGGTTTGTGCTTTTCATCCCATATACCCGCTCTGCTCGTCAGAACCCTCGCTTGGCACGCTCGCTCTGCTCGCCAGGACACTCACCTGCCACGCCGGCTTCACTCGTCAGAACGCTCACCTGGCACGCTCATTCTGCTCGTCAGGACACTCACTTGGCACGCTCGCTCTGCTCGTCAGGACACTCACCTGTCACACTTGCCCCGCTCGCCAGAACACTCACCTGGCACGCTCGCTCTGCTCGTCAGGACATTTACCTGGCACGCTCGCTCTGCTCACCAGAACGCTCACCTGGCACGCTCGCTCTGCTCGCCAGGACACTCACCTGGCACGCTCGCTCTGCTCGTCAGGACGTTTACCTGGCACGCCCGCTCTGCTCACCAGAACGCTCACCTGGCACGCTCGCTCTACTCGCCAGGACACTCACCTGGCACGTTCGCTCTGCTCGTCAGGACACTCACCTAGCACGCTCGCTCTGCTCGGTGCGGTGCACGTTGCTGAGTGCCCCCAGGCAGAAGCGGCTGTCGCCCGACGGGTCCACGTACCCGTCCACCGTCACCGAGGACATGCTGGACGGCACCTTGAACGCCTCGCCCACCTGGCCACGAACACACGACGCTGACAGTCGGCGGCGGCGCACCGCACGGCTTGGAAAGGTCAGACAGCAAGGGCCACACTCCACTGTCGCACATGCATAGAGTCAAGACGGGTGGCATGGTCTTGCGGAAATAAAGACACCCACAATCAATCACAGGACAGTCAGTTCTAGCGTAGTCATAAAATGGGACTAAAATAGCTGAAAAACTATACCAAAATAATGCCATGTCCACCAGCACAGTAGCTCTAATCACCTAATGCATGCTAATTAATCATTGACGGAATCCAGTTATTTCCTTTGCGCGAAAACAGTAACTCCTGTCACACCATCCCGGTGAATCGGTCACTACCGCACATCAGCGTTATCGTCACCGTCAGCTTTGTGACACCACTGATCACACCAAACCCGCAAACAGGTCTACAACGTCACAAGAGCCATTGGCCGTCGCTCAGCAGGCGCCCGCTCCGCCGCCAGCGGACGGCGCCCGCCCGGTGGCCTGCCGCCGCGCCGCACCTGCGTGTCCAGCTCGAAGTAGGTGATGTTGCACCAGAACTCGGGGGCCGGCACGCTGGACAGCAGCACCTGCGTGTCCTGATGCTGCACGTGCGCGTTCGTCCCCGAAACTGGAACGGTCCGGCCATCGGTCGGTCAGCACCGCGCTGGGTGGCGCTGGCCGGGCGGCTGACGCGACACGGGTGACGGCGACTTCGGCGCGTGTGATACACCCGGTGAGCAGAGTCCACAGGACAAGGGCGTAATTGTAACAGGGGGTGACATGGGTTATGACCACGTTTACATCGTACGCTACAGATGCGTGCAGCCCAGTTCACAGGAAATGAGTTAAACGGTGCATGGGACACGGAGACGCTGGTCTGCTTCAGCTGCATGTGAGAATGAAAAGAAGAGCGCAACAAAGTGCACGTAGAAAAACTGGAAACACAAAAACGTGGGTCATCATAACGAGGACATAATACCTCGCGAGAGCGGAACCCAGGAAACAAGTGCCTAGAACATGATGATGACGACTTCGCGCAAAAAGGTGCGTCCGTCCGAGGAGTCAAAAATTTCATATCCGTTTGAGACAACACACTATGGGGATAAGAAAGGAAGCTCAACATATAGACAAGCAAATAAACGGCGCAGGGAGTGTAGCTCGCGGCGCAGGACTGGACGAAGGGAGGGGGGGGGGGGGGGGCAAAACGGAGCGGATTAGCGAGCAGGTCCGTGCCACGTGTGGGGGCAGCCCGGTCGCGGCGGTCGCCACTCACAGGTGTAGGCGGCCGGCCGGTCCGGCGCCATGTCGCGCCGGTAGGTCAGCGTCGAGCCGGTACCGGAGCCCGAGCCGGAGCCGGAGCCGCGGTCGCTGCCGCTCCAGGGGGCGGCCGTGCCGGCGGCGCCGAACCGCGCCGTGCCTAGTCCGAACCCATTGGCCGGCAGCTGGGGTGGCAGGGCGCCGCCCGGGCCGGCTGCGCACACACCAGCACGTCGGGTCAGGCGCGCGCCGCCGACGGCCGGCCCGCGCGATACAGGCCGACTTCGTGCTGGTCAGCACAGGCCCGGGTTTACTCATGTGGCTGGACTGACCGAGCGTCGAATGCATGAGCGACTGCACGAGCATGAGCACGAAGCAAGTCAGGGCTGAGTCCAGCCTCGCACGGGAGATAGATAAAGCCCATTGACGATTTCACACGCCACTGACAACCCGACAAGACCTGGCGAGCCTCTGAAAGGCGGCAATCATTGCGATGTGCGACGGACGCCGGCGCATCCCCTGATGTCAACCAACACCCGAGTATCATCAGCTGAAAGAGCCGCATCCTGTGTATCAAAGCAGAAACCTGACGTGCGCGAACACGTGCAAAGGTAATGCCACCACCTCTGTCACTACTGAATGAACTAGTACCCCATTCAACTAACCTATAAACGGCGCAGCATTCATGAAATGATTTGCTGGAACAGCACAGAAAGGAAAACAATCAGCATCAGAGTCCAATCGTGCAGCGAGAGAAAGACAGGACATGCCACATTACTGTCTATGACAGAGAGCTGCATTTTAGGTGTGACGTTATCAGTGCCAGAACTCAAATCAACGCACCACGTATTGAGCTTTCGGCACAAACGTGCATTTCACGAACTCACCAAACGACTGCTGACTAGAAAGCGCAACGTTTGAACGTACACCAGCGTGCTGAAAAATCCCAGCTCATTTATAAAAGTGGCATCAGACAGAGTAAAGGAAAAATGAAAACAACGGCACACTACAGAGTGTACGAATACAAAGTTGAAGAATAGCAGTAGCCCGCAATGCCACCCGATATAAGTAGCATGCATACAGAGTGATCAGAAATGCACCAGCACATGCACCGACCACGGCTAGAAAAATACATAGCGGCTTGTCTCACAGAAAGAACTGCCACTGAAAGCAGTGCAACAGCCAGACCATAACTACAAGGTCACGTGGGTGACTTACCCGTTCTAATCAAAGCAAATGACTTTGTCTTACGGTGTCACGGCTGCGAGAACCCGGCGCTGGGTCCGAGCCGGCGGAGGGGCGGGGCGGGTGGGGCGGAGAGCGGGGGGCGGACCTTACTTGTCACGGCTGCGTAAACCCAGCGCTGGGGCAGGAGCCGGCGGCGGCGGCGGCGGTGACGGGGCCGAGCGGAGCGGGGCGGGGCGGGGCGGGGCGGGGCGGGGCGGGGCGGGGCGGGGCGGGGCGGTGACGGGGCGGGCCTTACTGTGACGCGACTCCGAGAACCCGGCGCTGGGGTCGGAGCTGGCGGCGGCGGCGGTAGCGGGCAGGGGCGGGGCGGGCGGGAGCGGGCCTTACTGTGACGCGACTCCGAGAACCCGGCGCTGGGGTCGGAACCGGCGGCGGCGGCGGCGGCCGTGGCGCCACCTGAAGCCTGCGAGGAGCTGGCGCCCGGCGATGGCAACGAGCCACCTGCAACAGCACGCGGCGCGCGCACACGCACCGGCCGGGCGTTAGTGGGCGCGGCGAGCACCGCCGGCCGCCGTTAGCAGCGCGGCCGGCGCCGGCCAAAGCAAGCCAGCCGTCACAGCACCAGCAGCCAGTCTTACAAAGCAAGCTAGCCGACTCACCACCGGGGCAGCAGCATGTCTCATTCACACTTATGCGCCAGCTTTCCCACTTCCCATACCCAACCGTGTTGCGGTGTGAGGACGATAACAGCTGGTTAAGGAGAGTACGCAGGTAGGTGATGAGTTGGCGGAGCGCGCCCACGCGCACGCACGCATGCACACGCGCGTGGACAAGCATACACACGCACGAACGCGGACACGCGCAGGCGCACACACACACACGCATGCATATACAAACACGCGCGCACGTCTGAGCGCACACTCACACACACAAACGCACGTGCTCGCCTCGCACCACAACACGATCGGGAGACAACGACCGCGTGTCGACGACCCAGGCCCACCACAGAATACCCGCGAAACGGGGAGCTCATCATCATCATCGTCACACCATCATCATGGTGTGACGGGGTGCACAGCCCTCGACGCCACCCCGGCAGTCGGGAGGTGTTGCGAGACGACAACGCGACGCTTAGAAGCGCGGGGTCGGGTGTCCGGAGATGCTGGCGCGACGGTGCAGTAGCTGTGGAAGCCAGGGAAGAAGACCACCTAATAGAGCCGCAGCCAGACCATCTGCAGTTGTCAGTGGGTTGTCATGCCAAAGGAAGGATTACGGATACGAAATTACGTGGAAGTGGCTAGCAAATGCGTCTTACATTTTGATGCTGCATGAGACTGACCACCGCTGGCCGTGCGGGAGACTGACCGTGGATGGGCAGGCCGTGCGGGAGACTGACCGTAGGTGGGCAGGCCGTGCGGGAGACTGACCGTGGATGGGCAGGCCGTGCGGTACACTGACCGTGGGTGGGCAGACCATGCGGGAGACTGACCGTGAGTGGGCAGGCCGTGCGGGAGACTGACCGTGGGTGGGCAGGCCGTGCGGGAGACTGACCGTGGATGGGCAGACCGTGCGGGAGACTGACCGTAGGTGGGCAGGCCGTGCGGGAGACTGACCGTGAGTGGGCAGGCCGGGCGGGAGACTGACCGTGGATGGGCAGGCCGTGCGGGGACTGACCGTGGGTGGGCAGGCCGGCCGGGAGACTAACCGTGGGTAGACAGACGGTGCGGGAGGCTGACCGTGGGTGGGCAGGCCGTGCGGGAGACTGACCGTGAGTGGGCAGGCCGTGCGGGAGACTGACCGTGGGTGGGCAGGCCGGGCGGGAGACTAACCGTGGGTAGACAGACGGTGCGGGAGACTGACCGTAGGTGGGCAGGCCGTGCGGGAGACTGACCGTGGATGGGCAGAACGTGCGGGAGACTGACCGTGAGTGGGCAGGCCGTGCGGGAGACTGACCGTGGGTGGGCAGGCCGTGTGGGAGACTGACCGTGGGTGGGCAGACCGTGCGGGAGACTGACCGTGAGTGGGCAGGCCGTGCGGGAGACTGACCGTGGATGGGCAGACCGTGCGGGAGACTGACCATGGATGGGCAGACCGTGCGGGGACTGACCGTGGGTGGGCAGGCCGGGCGGGGGACTGACCGTGGGTGGGCAGACCGTGCGGGAGACTGACTGTGGGTGGGCAGGCCGTGCGGGAGACTGACCGTGGGTGGGCAGGCCGTGCGGGAGACTAACCGTCGGTAGACAGACGGTGCGGGAGGCTGACCGTGGGTGAGCAGGCCGTGCGGGCGGTGCGGGAGACTGACCGTGGGTGGGCAGACGGTGCAGGACACTGACCGTGGGTGGGCAGGCGGTGCGGGAGGTGCGGGAAACTGACCGTGGGTGGACAGACCGTGCAGGACACTGACCGTGGGTGGGCAGGCCGTGCGGGCGGTGCGGGAGACTGACCGGGGGTGGGCAGGCCGTGCGGGGACTGACCGTGGGTGGACAGACCGTGCGTGAGACTGACCGTGGGTGGGCAGGCCTTGCGGGCGGTGCGGGAGACTGACCGTGGGTGGGCAGGCCGTGCGGGGACTGACCGTGGGTGGACAGACCGTGCGTGAGACTGACCATGGGTAGGCGGACCGTGCGGGGACTAACCGTGGGAGGGCACGCCATATGGAAGGCCGTGCAGTGGCGCTCGGTGCTGAGCAGCCACGGCGGCCGCCGGTGACACGCCGCCGGCCGACTGCGGCGCCGCGTCCGCCGCATCCGGGTGGTCCAGGCCCGCCGTGTACTCGTTCTTCACCGACGACGGGTTCGACGGGTGGATGGAGAGGCTCGACAGGTCTGGCGGCGGCGCACAATGCACGTGGTCACGGGTGTAACCACTGGAGGGATTGGGGATGGGGCAGATCCTCTCCAGCTTTCCGGAGAGAGGCTTTTGTCCCCTCCAGTTTTGCAAATTGGATGCACGTTTTTGATATGTTCCTATTTCAAACGTCACTTTCCCGTTACGTTGCACCCCAGAGTACAGTTCCTGGGTTGTTCCCCTCCCCAACATCAGATCTGTGGTCACAGCCATTCACGTGATGACCGCGGCGCAGCCGGACTCGTGTCAACGTTGTTCACGAAACTACAGCACCGTCCTAAAACACTGTTGCCATTTTAGGGAGATGGGCGAGATACACATAAACTGCTTTCCATATTAATACCAGAGTAGAGCTACATAACTGGCATGAATTCACAAAGTTGCTCAACATGTGGTAGTTTTCAATGAACTGGCAAGCTAGCTTGTGGATGAGGCACTAAGCAAGCATGTGCAATGACAATGACCCATTTAACTTGCCATGATGAATAACGTCGTTCAGACACAATGGATCATGCTGATGGGCTTTGGGGAATCGCTGAACTTATCAGTGACCTATTTTAATACAGAAGCGTATATAATATGCACACATAGCGATAGAAGGAGCTTCGTACAATATTTACCTTCTGTTTACTTTACGTACAACACATTTGAGTGCTGACTGAGTGATGACGTGCGCTTCCAAGGACTGCAACTGCATGGCCACATAGGACCTCTTGAGCATGAAAGCCCACATTAACACCACCACCGAAGACTGGAAAACATCTCCCACCGACGGCACGTTGAAGCCATCATTACACACTTGTCAAAACGCGATTAAGAAAGTCTACTGGATGTAAATCGTTGCTGAACTCAACAGGTGGCAATTACTGCCAAAAAAGCTTCTGACCTATTCCAGTGGAGACAACCCGCTCGTAGTGATACGGGTTGACGCAGACGGCGTCCGCCTTCAGGTCGAAGGCCAGCTGACAGAACTTGGCATTCTTCAGCTCGTTCTTGTGTAGGTCGGGCCAGCGCCAGATCTTGGCGTACACCACGTGTGGAAACCCTTTCCTTCCAGCGACCTGGGAGGCAAAACAAGGTACGTCAACTTCAGGATCGTCGTCCAGACCGTGAGTCGTCTAAACTTAAAGCGTGCGAATAACGGGGATCCCAACGGTATACTATTACAAAAAAAACACATGAAAGGCAATGGGACAGCAAATGGCCCAGCAAAGCGTACATCGTACGTCCAGCCGCACACAACAGTAGTTCATAATCACGAAAAACACATACGGATAATCCCGTCAAACAAAGCCATGCCACGAAAACATTGCAACGACGTAAAAAACACGTCTATCCACACGTTGGTCTGGTCCATGGGCGGGGCTGAGCGAGAGAACTCTAAGAGTGCCTCCGCAGCCGGAGGCCGATCTCGACAGGCATCGGCCGTGCCACGCGAGCCTCCAGGCGGCCAGGTCCCGCGTCCCTGACCTGCAGCCGGCCATCGAGCGTGCGCGGGATGGTGACACACTTGCTCGGGTGCGCCCCATTGGTGGTGATGGCCGTGATCAGCGAGTCCAGCTCATCGCGCTTCTCCTGTGGACGCCAACGGACGGCATGTGGACACGCTGCACTCTCCGCCGGTGTATTTGACCAGGGCGTGCACCTTTAGTACATAAAATACAATTGTGGAACACTTCACAAATCTGACAAGCCAAGAGCCACCTCCCCGCACTTTTACTACACCAGTTTGCAGCCCCAAGTTAATGATCGAGTGACAGTGTGGTCATTCAAAATCCCCATTACATCCGTCTCAGGACGGCACAACTTCGTCACTCTTTCAGTATGCTGTAGCTGAGTGTTGGCAGAGGCTGTTCCTACAAAAGCCTGCAACGCAACCGAAAGATTCGAAGTTCCGGACGGCATAGAATGTCTGAGCTATAACACTTTCTAGGAACACCACTACATCTTGAGTAAAAACTAAATACACTACTGGTCATAACATGTCCTATAGAACACAAGCACGCACGCACGCACGCACGCACGCACACACCCACACACAAAAATTTGACCAGTAGCCACCTCTCTCATCTGATTGTGAAAACACCAGAAACATGCCCGATTCAAGCCCAGAAACTTTTCCCGAGAGCCCGCACCCATCCCTGCTGCGATGTCGTCCGCAATTACTCGCGTTACCTTCAGCTTTTTGACGAGGCTCTCAATGGCCTTCCTGGCGAACTCCTCGGACTCGCCGCCTTGACGGTGGCACATGAGACTGTGCACTATGCTGAGGCAGGCGTCCGTGGACGTCGGCGACGGGCTCGGCAGTGTCGGGTTCATCATCTCGTTCATCTAGACACAGAAAGGAGCACCTCCGCTGTAGCCACCACAGTCACAAGCTGCAGAAGTCCATAACATATGGGCTGGTGATCATGAATTTTGTCATTAGTGTGCGAGAATGATTTTCAGCTTTCTTTGAGGTCTTGGCAAGGACTGCATACCTGTCAAAAATGGAGCTGACCCAACTTCAGACATTGACAAGATTGGGCACTGTATGTGATTCCAATGATGGGGTTTCTGGCCATGGATAATGAATTCATGGATCCTTGTTTATCTTACTCTGTCCAACGAACAACTGATGCACAGCATGAGTGGATATATACAATGGATTTGGTGACATCAGTGGTTTTGTGACCAAGCACAAAACAGAAACATTCCAGACCACATACACAGGTTAGAGCTAATCATTAAAATACAATAATAAAAATTTACATTGTCAGAACAGTTTGGTCTGCCCATCCGACTGTAACTCATAACTGCTGCAAAATACAAAGATAGGGGCATAATGGCTGAGTGGCTGGCACATTTGGCTTTCACATGCAGGGGCCAGGTTTGAATCCTGGGTCATGGGATGCGCTAATAGCTGGAGCATTCACATGACCTCTGGGTTGCTGGTGCTCCATACAAGGCTGTGCAATGATTCTGTTGAGACCCCTTCACAAAATTAATGCAAAGCCAAATGAAGACATTGTACAGGATATTCCCTTGCTGCAGTTAAATTTCATGCCACTTCTGTTCCCTACTTGTTTATTCATTGTCAGTTTAGCTGTCAGCATCCCTGACCTGGTTTGAGCTACATTCTTTCGGGAAGGCGGGATGTTTGTGGTTTGACTTCTGACTGATGTCTGATGACTAACATGTGTCATAATATCAAAAAGTCAAAGTGCATTTTTCCATGTTGTTCCCAGAGATCCAAAGCAGGGAATTTCTCAACAAACAGGGACAATGTGAAGAAACAAGATATATGAAGCAACACTTCACAGAAATTGGCTTACAGGCAAAATGGTTTCAGTAGGTATTGTAATAGTCCACAGGTCTGGTGGCACACAAGTGTTCACATTTTTACAAGCATGGTGACAATTGCAAAATTCACAGAAATACCTTCTCCTAGCTTCCAGAGCTAAGCAAAAAAAAAAAACATGCTGGAGGAGAGGCATCCAACATAAAGTACTTCCCTTTAGTAACATCCACTTTGTACCCAAGGAAATTATCAATTTCAGAGCAACCCACTGTGCTGGCTGAGAATAGTCTGATGTGAAAGTAGGAACCCTCATAGCTTGTCTAGGTATAGACAGATTTGGTGAATATTGCAGAAGAGTCATTACATATCACCTGCACAATTGCTGGTTTTTCTTAATTTCTAGGGATTCTATAGTATTATACTTTGCATTTTCATGCCTTTAAAACAGGAACTCTGACAGTGCCTGGCAAGAATGGCAAAATACCAGAGAAAACAACTTTTTGCTTCAGAGTATTGCCATCCATGGCATAGAATGCTTTCAAGTTGTGTGTGTGTGTTACATACTTGCCTTGCCCATAATCACACCGATCTATTTTATGCTCGCTGCTTTTGCCAGTTTAATCACACCAAATCAAAGAACTGAGCTGCACTTAGGGCCACACCATACACAGTGATGGTGCAGATCTGGAAGGAATATGTGAATTTTGTGATCCTGATCTTCATGCAGACATTTTTTGAATGCTTCATTACTTCAAATTGCAGCAACAAATTGTCAGATTTACAGCCTGTTATCATTTATACACAGGCAAACAATGTGCCAGCCAGCTGTTAAGCATTATGCTGAGCTGTGATTTCTCATTTATTTCTTTTTAGGCTAGCGTCAAGGGTTGTAACAATTTCACAGCCTTATCTCTTCTCAAAAATGTGTGGTGCTGCCCCTTATGTCAGGTGCAGTAGCAACATCACAACAAAAGTTTCAGAGCATAGTGATGTAGTTTCAGTCAAACACATGCCACAGGCAAACACACAAAACTTTCAAACAAAGATCATTTGAAAATTCAGCACAGCCTGGCCTGGCCTGAGTTGAAAAACAGGAGCAGAAGGGCTAGTTCACCAATGTCATTCAATCCCCCACATAAGGGATTATTTATTTGCAGACTGGACAGCCAACACCCTGCAGGCCAGGTAACATCACATGACTCACACAGAAGGATGGATGGGTAACTAAGCACACAGTCAATCCTCACTCAAAATGGATGTTAGCAGACTGGGAGACACAAATTCCAATTAACTCTAGGGTAGTTTGAAGCATTGCATTGCCAAATAAGTGTGTATTCACAACCTGGAATGTTCTGAATTACAGTCAGTCAATACCTTGCCCACAGCAATGTACGACACCATTTAAGCCATGATTCCTGAAGATTATGATACCTGAGCAGCCATGTGCAGAGCTAGGGTTTGATTTCAAGCTTATCTTCTGCGGAAACAAAATATCATCACTAGCTGCTTTGATTCTAGCAGCATGTGGACGGCTTATCATGCAGAGGACCAGCAAATTACCGTTCAGACGTTGCCATACCCTTACTTTCAATGATGGTGAAGAAGGAGGAACATCTGAATGCAGCTTTTGCAGCTTGAAAAAGTGTAATTGGCACCAAAACAATTGTGAATCTGCAATATCGTTACGAAAGGTACGTGCTTCGACGCGAAGTGTGTGACGCAGTTGTTCATAGACATAAGCGACAAGGAGTTACGCTAAACGTTGGATAGCCTTGCGCTAAACCCGCTAAACGGGGTAAGATCGCCATCTCAATATGACGTCATTTGGGTCTTGATAGGCCATTCAAACGAGCAAATTTTGCTTGGAGCAGGGTACAAGAGGGTCCCAGCGGTGCAGGTCATCCTTTGTGTTCGATGGTTTGCCGTTTGAGTGCAGATCGCTGAAATCAAATCTGCGACCAGCCTTTAGTTCACTAAGAAATGCTATTTTTCGTCAAGTAAATATCCGCAAAAGTTATGATTCGTTATAAGTCGTGATTCTTCATGCTTTCTGCTAATGGACAACTTTATCCCGATTCTGGAGTGTCTCATGTTTCACTGAAAGCTACATTCACGGAGTAAGTTAGGATGAGTGTAAACGTGCATAGGTGCAGGAGAAGATATATGAGAAGGAGCAACTTAAGTTTTAGGAGAAGAGGAGGCTTACGTTAGAATAGGTGGTTTTAGGGCGCTCGCGTAGCTTATGTGCTTGGTTTGAGTGACGTCACTTGTAATTTTAAACGCACATTTACATTATTCTCACCCTTGACTTCACACGTGAGGTGGTTGCAGCCGATCGGCGCGAATCGTGGGGGTGTATTTCGTGCAGTTTTCATTCGGCATTATTGGGGGAACGTCATTTTATGGCCATCTAAACATCGTGAGTATGTTTCCATGATCATTTAAACGTTTTTTAGCCCCTTGCATGAAGAATTAACGCTGTGGGGTATTCATCTTGATATCGCCGGCGGAGGCTTGGGACCAGATCTTTCACTTTCTCAAATCGTATGGGGGCTTAGCCAATAAGTTGACCTTATCTGCCCTCAAATCCTAAGTTCTCCCTGGATTTTGGCCACTCTGATGTGTGATGTTGATGACAGAGTTGAAATGTAAAAAATGAATTGGCCAGATTCAAAATTGTTTTGATGTTTTGTAATGACTTCCAATTTGAAGCTGATGCGACAGTGATAATGAGCATATATAATGATGGTGATATGGATAGTAATGTGTTTAGGTACCTAGTGTTCTAGCAGTCCAGGCACTTGCTGAGTTGCATCATTCCAGCAATCCCTTTTTGCACATATGCATTGAAGTGCAGCATTCAGAAGAGTGCAGGGGGCTCAAGTCAATATTGAAGGGCTCAGGCCTTTCTGAACTTACTCAAAGTGACACCCTTGTCTGACACTACTAAGAACAGTGTGAATGAACTGAATTAAGTGTTATTTATTAACAAGATAAAATGTATTTCATCACACCATGTAACCATGTAACCATTTTAGGAAGTGGCTGGAATCATAGCCAAATCTCTGCCAGCCAGTCTGCAAAAGATGCTAGACCAGTTAAGCTGTTTGGTGCAGGCCTAACACTGCCCAAAAAGGGTACCTAAGCTGTCTACTGGATCATACAGCTGGGGTTGTTGTTCTCATGACCTGGGTGTCCCAGATTTTTTCTGATTCTGATGATCTGACGAAAAATGCCGATATTTGTTGTATTTACTAATCACTAAGTACCCCCTCCTCACTGCTCAGTGTGCAGGCACTTGGCATGTGGATGATATGGTCCATCTAACAGGCACTGAAAATGTGAACCACATCAGGGATCTGCTTATCAGAGGAATAATGTCTAAGTTGTAAGATGAAAAAGCCACATGATGCACAGTTGAAGGCCCATCAGCTAGAATGACTTGTGTGTAGTGATAAACTTTTTAAAAAGACATGCTTTGTTCATGTAGAAGCAGGTGTATGCACCAAGAGGACCCATTTGTAAAGCTGTATATTGTACTGAACAGCATCTTGTACAAAGCTGTCTTGTACTGAAAAAGAACAAATTCCAAGGATTAATTTGTGCCCTCTTAAGGTAAACAGGCATCAAAACAAACAAGACATTGTGCCAATGCAGTTTGGCACCAATCTACCTCAGCATTTTCCATACATCATAGGTCATTCTGAGGCCAATGTTCATCTAATATTATCCTGAATGTGCATGTATTGTACCCTTCATGAACCTGGATGCCGCATTTAGAAATGTCATGCGTCTGCCCAGCAATGTAATCCATGGTAGTGTGCAGACCATAGATGTATGTAGGCCTAGATGCAGTCAGTGACCATACTGGTGGTCACTTCAAACAAATGCAGTATACTAGGTGACTGGGGTGGGGCCAGTTCATGCTATATGTTTAGCAGAATTGAGCTGTTGTAGCCTCAAAACCATTGCAGATCTGTGACACCCAGTCTGAGATTGTGAGATCAAGTTTCCTGATTTCAGTTAAAAAAACAACAAAATTATGCCTCTGTTTTGAGGTGTTACTAGCCATCTGGAAGAGATGAGTCCACACAGAGCTAGCAATCTTGAAGTGAGTCACTGACAGATGTATTTCTGTGGTATTTTGGTCAAAGTTTTAAACTAAAAATTATGTGAAAGATGCCACTTTAATGCATGACATATCATTTGCACTACAAATGTGACTGCCATTCAGTGGTGAATATTGTATAGGAAGCTTTTTCTGTTTGTGTTGTATAACAAACTTGCTGTTTCAGATGGATATCAGACCCAACCAAACAATTTACATCAACAACTTAAATGAGCGAGTGAAGAAGCCAGGTGAGACATAACCATCAAACAGTGATTATGCATTCCTCATAATGCACTGAAAGATGAGTATTGTGTTTGCCACTGCATTTCTGGCTAAAACCTGGTATGTAACAGGTTTGTAAAGTGGCATGGAAGATGGCTGTGTGTGGTTGTAAATGATGAAGTGGTTAGATGGGGTGTGTAAAGTGTAACATGCAACACCAAAATAGAATATTAAAATAGTGTCTTGAATTAACTTACCCTCAAAAAAGACAGCAATGATGCCATACTGTCAGTCCCCAGTACTGACATCAGGAGCACTTCAATGGCAGTACAGTGTGGCAAGAATTGTACTCAGATGTTAGAGTTGTTTTTTAAATGTGCTTGATTTTTTTGAACTTGATTTAAGTTGCTGTTTTCATCTGTGGAGATCATTGACTTGAACTGTTAGGTCTTTGTAGGTAAGCTGCAAACCTAAACTTAGTATGTTGTGTGTTATGTGATGCGTTTTGCACATTGACGAAAGGCACGTTTGTGTTTTTTTTCTGTTTCAGAACTGAAGCACTCCCTCTATTGCCTCTTTTCTCAGTATGGGCCAATCCTGGATATTGTGGCACTCAAGACACCAAAGATGCGGGGCCAAGCTTTCATCGCGTTTAAGGAGATCGGGAATGCCACCAATGCATTGAGATCGATGCAAGGATTCCCATTCTATGATAAGCCCATGGTGAGAAGCACAAACTGTACTATCAGTGACCAGTCAGAGTGTTGTGTGGTTGTTTCTTCAGAATTGTCATGCTGGTTATCTGCGCGCTGCAATCACACGGGTGCCTCTTTGTCCTATATCCCTGAAGGGGGACTGGAATAACCCAATAATATAACAAATATTTCACTTAACCCAAAGTGCAATCAAACATTGAGGCCATCAGAATCACTGAGATCGCGCCGTCCACCTTCAGTTTACTAACTGGTCAGAAAGGCCGCCATGTGTCGCCATCCACCCAGTCGGTCTTGCGAGCTCCGCCTCTGTTCGGCCTTGACCTGAAACTCGTCCTTCGGCCTGCGCAGCGGATCCCGAGCCCCGCCTTTGTTCGGCCTTGACCCGACACTCGTCCTTCGGCCTGCGCAGCGGATCCCGAGCCCCACTTCTGTTCGGCCTTGATCTGACACTTGTCCGCCGGCCTGCGCAGCGGATCCCGAGCCCCGGCTCTGTTCAGCCTTGATCTGACACTCGTCCGTCGGCCTGCGCAGCGGATCCCGAGCCCCACTTCTGTTCGGCCTTGATCTGACACTTGTCCGCCGGCCTGCGCAGCGGATCCCGAGCCCCGTCTCTGTTCGGCCTTGATCTGACACTCGTCCGTCGGCCTGCGCAGCGGATCCCGAGCCCCTCCTCTGTTCGGCTTGATCTGACACTCGTCCGTCGGCCTGCGCAGCGGATCCCGAGCCCCGGCTCTGTTCAGCCTTGATATGACGCTCGTCCTTCGGCCTGCGCAGCGGATCCAGTACGGAAAATCCGAGTCCGACGCCGTGTCCAAGCTGAAGGGCACGTACCGCCAGGAGGGCGGCAAGCGCAAGGAGCCGGTCACCAAGAAGCCGAAGAAGACGAAGCCAGGTGCGGCTGCGGCGCCGGGCGCGCGTCCCGCGACGGCCGATGGTGACCAGGCGGACACGGCGCCCGGTCCCGAGCAGCCGCCCAACCAGATCCTCTTCCTCACCAGCCTGCCCGAGGAGACCAACGAGATGATGCTGCAGATGCTGTTCAACCAGTGAGTGCCGCGGGTGGGCGTGGTGGCCGTGCCGAGCTCGAGCGCTGGCGGTGAGACGTGGATTGCAGAAGAGCTTGTGGGAGCTGGTGGTGTAGCATGAATTGCCTGTGGTGTTTGGCGAATGTTGTTTTTTCTGGGTATTTCGCGTACTGGACGAAGGCGCTGTTTGTTGTGACGTGCATCGTAGCTGACCAAAAGGCTGCCGAATCTTTGTCAGTTGTCAACCAGTACGGTTTGCAACTATGGCTATGTATACACTAAACGTTACTTTGCTTCGCAGTCCCTCTGCTTCCTCCCCACCCCTTCTAACAATGCTCTGGGGATGCCGTTATGAGCTTAATATGACCATAGCGATCGGCGCGTTCAAAAACCCTTATCGCCGCCATCACCAGACGATGTTCCGACACAACGGTCCGTGCTCCGTCGACAGGTTTCCGGGCTTCAAAGAGGTGCGCCTGGTGCCGGGCCGGAGCGATATCGCCTTCGTCGAGTTCGACTCGGAACTGCAGTCGACGGCCGCTCGCTCCGCCCTGCAGGGCTTCAAGATCACACCCACCCATGCCATGCGCATCTCGTTCGCCAAGAAGTGAGCCGGCGGACGTGCGCGTGATAGCTTGATTGGTGGATTGACAGTGACGTCACACTGCCTGTGGCAGTCGGCGCCGCGCCGTCAGACTGACTTCATCGTCGCATTGTTCATCTCACGGTATGTAGACTGGCGTCGGGCGTGATGTTTTGTGGGCATCGTCAAAATTTGTATCCCCGTTGGCAGCGATTCACGAGAGGACCAACACTTTTTGAATTGTGCTCGGATTTTGTACACTGGTGGGACGGCGTTCGCCCAACGTTTGGTGCGATGAAACCACGTGTTTCGGTGTCGTTCTCAATGACAGCGCTCGTCGAACTCGCGTCTGTGGCTGAATGTCATCTGCCTGTTAGATGTATTGTACCGTAATAGATGTCGCCCATGGGGCGCAATCGATATTGGTACAATTCTGGACGAGACTTGATTTCAAACAAGCCCAATGAGTACTTGTATTTCGCTCAGTTGTCTCAAGCATACAATAAATAACACATCGTATCAGAGTACCATGTAGCAATGTTGTCCGTTGGGCGAGCGTCCTCCCCTGTCCCTCACCCGGGCTGCTGTGACCCTAGCCATGCCGATCACCACCCGTGCTCTGCGTACTCGGCAGAGGTGAGCCCCGTATACGGCGGCGTGCTGAGACAGCCTCTGTTGAACCTGTTCGCAGCGCCGGTGACTGAGATAGTAAGTGGTATCGTTTGTCAGTTCGTCGACTCAGCCGTTAGAGCTGTTTGACGAGGTGACACCGGAGAAAGGGGCCGTGAGGAAAGGGGACAATCGGATGATAATCTTGGTGTACAGAGGCTTACGTTTAGCCATTCGGTGAAGACTGCATTCCTGGCAGAAAATCTTGCAGGGTAGAAGTAGGTTATGGGCGCCATATGGCTAACGTAGTTGGTGCGCCCCAAAGCCCAAATCATCCTCTTCTTACAGGTTAGTTTGATGGTCGCTCTGGTCGAAATGGAAGTCGGATTAGCTGCGTCGAGAGGTGTGAACGGGCTGAGCAAGCTGAGCGTTCGGCTCCTAACGTCACTCACGAAGGTTGACAAGAAGGCATGAGTCGCGGCTCCCCCCAGCCCTGCCGGAAGGTAGGCTGAAGATGCGCCTCACCCCAGCCGGGAGGCGAGCTGAAGACACGCCTCATCCCAGCCGGGAGGCGGGCTGAAGACGCGCCTCCCCCTGCCGGGAGTCGGGCTGAAGCCGCGCCTCACCCCTGCCGGGAGGTGGGCTGGAAGAGGCCGGCCAGCTCGGGCACGACGTCGCCGGCGCTGAGGCCGGCCGCCTGCGCCAGACTCAGCGTGGCCTTGGAGCTGATTGAGCCGCACACGTATGTGAAGCAGAACGGGTCGAAGAAAAGGCCGCACGCCGGCTGGTTGCAGTAGCTGTGGGCGGAAAGATGTACTCAGAAGGCGAGGCTGCTCAGAAGGCGGAACGAAATGCTCCAGGGATGTAGGAAAAGAGTGGGAGGAGCTGGCTGTGCCTCGTAGATTGCGGAGCCCGGAAAGCGTATACACGCGGGACACCAGTGGCGCACTTAACTTGGCTCCGCCCACTGGTTCAGTTTTCAGTGCAGCGTAAACAAAAGATGATGATTGGAATGGTAAGGCCGCGCCGACGTCGGAGGTCATAAACGTAAACTAAAAATGGCAAATATGTAAATACTGTTTCTTGTGAAAGAGCGTACGCAAGATTCATAATAGGAGGAAGGAGATACATTTTGAGAGAAAAGAACTCCAAAAGCTAAGTATAGCACGCCGCATGGGCGCACAATTCTCTACCACTCGTAGACAGTATCACCTTTTCTCGATCTACTTAATCTGACGTGTTTGGAGCGCCATGCTGCTCAGGGCCAGCCTGTCAGTCATGCTCCATGCGAGACGTGACGCATCGGACATGGAAACGGTCAACTACCAGACAGGACAGACGGTGATACTCCAGATGAGACATTGTCCGGTCGGACAGATCAGTCAGTAAGTTGGCAAACAGCAAAACAGCACGCCATGCAGAATGTTCACTGAATCGCCCGGCAAGGCAGACATCCGCCTTCTGTACGGTACCAACACGGACCAGCTGAACACGATAAACACTGGTCTGTCACGCAGAAGGAGCAGCATGGCCGTTCTAGCAGACACTGATCTGCCGGAGCGGGGTCCGCCACTGACCTGCCCGACAGACACTCGCGATCCTCCAGACAGCTGCCGCCGGACTTCTTGGCCGGAAAGCAGCGCCGTTGGCCATCCCCCAGGCCCGTGGTCGTGCAGTAAGTGTTGATGGGACAATCTTGGGGTCCCGCACAAACTGCCAACATCTCCGGGGGTCGTTAACCTCTCGCGATGGCGATGACGCCAGCTACCGTCTACTCGGCGCCTAACGCGTTACGTCGCACTTGGCGAACAGAGAGCATGACTCGAAGCAGGAATCCAAGATGGCGCGTACACCGACCCCGTTTGGGGTCTTCGTACCGGACATTGCAAAACCGGGCTGCAGACCAGCACGGCGCGCCGCTGCGGTTGCCTGCAATTCCACTTCCGCAGTAATGTTCGGACCACGGAAGGCGCTCCGAAGCTTACGAGGCGGTGTGACGCGGCGGACAGAGGCGCGAGACCGCGGTACCGATAGCCGCGACTGGGTCAACGCTGACGGTAGAGAGTGGGCCTGGTCTGGTCACGTGTTGAGCTTGCCGGAACCAGGAAATGTGCGCATGGGTGAAACGACCGAACGCCACCATCGAAACCCGCCAGTCGTTACTGGACCAGGCTGGTACCCGTTCGTCGAGTCTGCCGGGCGCGGTGCCAGCACGGGATTCGCTAATGAAGGCACTCCATCTTTCATGACAGCCTTGCAAGAACATGGCAACCAAGGCATGGCGCAACTGATCAGCGCCGCCGAGGCACTGACCCAGAAACTTTCCGACGAGGTCCGTGCAGGCGTAACAGCTGGCGCCGCGTCGCGTCCCGCCGGTGGCGAGGTCCACATGCGACGACAGCGTCAGCAGCAACAGCGGCAGCATTGGCAGCAGACCCATCTACGGACGGAGAGGGAGGGGCGTCAACGCCCCTCGGTCGACACCCCCGCCAGCAGCGGTTTGATGCGGAGCTGGCCGCAGTGTGGGTGGGTAGCGCTTCATATTGGGTGTCGGTTGCTCTAGGTCAGCAGTGCGCCCATACCGCTCGCACGTCACGCCCTTGCCCTTCATCGCCCGCCGAAGCCTGTTAGCGCCACGTTGGCGACGACTTGACAAGATGGCACTCGATTTACGGGCATGTACGTGCAATGTAGATTATTGCGATCTGAGCGAACCCTTGCAAGAATAGTTGTCACACCATGCAGGCATTCGTCGGGTGCACCTCTACAGTACGAAGGACGGTATTTCAATTCGCACGCCATGTGAGATGTGCAATTAGCATCGAATAGGCGTGGGCGTGGCAACGGATACATTTGCGCATAGCGTAGCGTGACGGCTCTGGAGCTGCGCGTGACGTTTGGAATTTCTTAATGCGGGCATTGATTAGACTCAGCTGCACATCTGAGCATGCTTATAACGCATTAACGCATTAAGCCTGTCAGCGGGACTGGATTACAGCGCCGTTCCAGCACACATTTCCGACGCGCTGTGTGGGCCATTGATCACGCCAATGCGCCGTGGATTGCCTGGCCGTAGTATTCAATGTCCGTGTCTGTACAGAATACCCTCAAATGAATTGTTTATTCAAAAATCGAAACCTATGGTAATGACACTTTCGGGGTGCACACATCTGGTAGCTTGAATATAACGCTGTGAGCTGACCATAAAAGTGTGATATTCCTACGCATTTACCGGAACCAATCTGTCAGTATCAGCAACTGAAAGCTAACAAAGGTCCACAAAAGGCGCTTGCACTCACCGCGACGGCGAAATGTGGGGTCACCGGACACGATGATAGCGCTCGTCACACTGCCGGCAGCGGCGGGGCCGTGTGACCTGACGCCGCGCGTTCTGCCGCCCGGCCCAGGACCGGATCTGCAAATGGGACAGCTTCAGGCATACCGATCCTTCCGGAGGGATGAGGCCCACAGAATTTCACCACTCGGATATTGTAGCAGAGCCGGTTCGACCAACTGACCTCATTTGCTTTGCCGCTGATTGCTTTTATTTCATTGTATTTGAATGACACACACGCACACACACACACACACACACACACACACACACACACACACACACACACACACACACACACACACACACACCACGCACGCACACACACACACACACACACACACACACACATATATATATATATATATATATATATATATATATATATATATATTAATATTCATATTGTATCTACAATATCAAGTGCATATGCTCGACGCAAGGTCGTCTCACTAACATGCTCGTGGTTGTTTTGCATCTGTAGGTCAATTAGGGGCTTAACGGACGTTATTCTTGGGATGCTACGATTACCACAGCGTCACCATCGCGGTTGGAAGCAACCGATGCGTTACCTCGGGCGATTGAAAATGACCAAAAATGGCTGCCGTTGCTTAGGGATAATTCCTTTAGTTAGACACATACAGTTGACTCAAGCCCGCTTTTGGCCTGGTGGGGCCAAATGGGACTTCCTCTTGGGCTGGTGGGGCTTCCTGTGTGATTGTTCCTGAAAAGGCATGCTTTATGGGGTTCTGCGCATGCGATGGGCCTCTTTCGGATCATTCCCTGCATCAAGGTGACCAAAAGAGCCCACCGTAAGGTATCGAGGGCCTTTTCTACACTGGCAGATATGGTCTACCGTGTGTTTCCTTTGCATTCGATGGAACGCATCGTCTCCGCCATCCGGAATATTCCATCGGTATGTTGGGTTCCCTGGAATTTTAGAGGGGGGGGGGGGGGAGAATATGCTTCCTCTTAGAAAACGGGAAAGGGATTACTGCCGCTTGCCCCCTTCTCTCTGGTGGCACCACCTGAACGAGTAAGGCGCATTAATATCGTTGGATGGTGTGGTGTGGTGTGATTGGAGCAATAACAGGCTTGATGGATAAATCTTCATCAGTTACGTGATACCAAACCTAAACTTATTCGCTCAGACGTCTTAAGCCAATAGTTCTAATCCATGTATTTCCTCATCTGTTATGTCTGTATATATTATACACAAATTGGTTGATTATGAGCCCGGTCCGTTCTGGCAATTGGTGTTGGCGAAATATGTAAATTTGCAATTAGCCAAAGTTTGACAACTGTGACCGGAACACTGCAAAAACGTACGCATTTGTAAAAATATTGGTTAAAAAAAGACCTCACGCACGTATTGTTTTCAGAGCCAGAGATCGCTATTTAAAACGTAGTGTATATTTTGCGTCATCGTCGTCACTGGGATGTTACGACGCACTCAGCTCTGCGGCTATATGGCGTCGCCTACCACTCTCCATGGCAGAAGGGGCGGGTGCCGCGGGGAATCGAACCCCGTACCTGCGGTTTCCCAGACGCGCAGTTTCACCATTACAATAGCCCGGAGAGGGTGGTACTCCTTGCGTTTTATATGCGTCATCGGTTTCGTAAAAGTTGACAGCAGCCATTTCCCTTAGTTTTATTCTTAAAGATAATTTCAACCTTTTGAATGGATAGATTTCTGCAATAAGAACCCACGTCAAACAATGTTTGTTGTGTGAGCCCTGACTCCTACCATCTGATCGCGCGATTCCAGGTGAAAAGTTTACGAATGCTTAACGTGCTGCAATGCTCGGCACGGTCCGTCTTTCCCTCTGACGTCATCTGACTTTTATCGTGGCGGCTGCTTCCTGTCGCAGACCAGACCCGTCAATGACAATATTAGACTGGCACACATCGCAGTCAGACAAGTTTGAAATCTCTGAGTGAGTTGTAGCCAGTACATCCACATAAGCCATGCAGTTTGCTCTCTTCGTCTGAAATGAATCGTTAAAAATGCCATAAAACGGGCGCGTTCATGGTACGCGTCCAAGAACGCGTGACCACTACACACAGCACACTTCTGTCAGTGTGACTGTCCGTTGTTTTCCGCGGTCGAAGGCTGTTTAGTGTGTCCCGGTGCGGTGTCGGGTCGTCAAGATCCTGACCCGTTTCGGCCCGGGCCCTCAGTTCTCTTGCATTTGAAAGCAAAAGTTGTTCCATGTGAATCGCGCGTGAACGTGCAATGGTGATAAACTGTGATGATGTTGGAATGTTGCACGAATCTTCCTGATTCACTTCCATGCACATGCTTAGCGATTCGTGCACCACAACATGACCAACTGCACTTTTTGCGGTTTTTGCGGCCTTGCGACGTGACAACCAGGCTGGGATGCTTAAGTCAACAGTTTCCACATAGCTAAGGTCAAACTCGCTCGGCCTGCGCCCTCACCCATACCGGTGGTAGCAACAAGGAATGAGCTTCATGTTAAGTGGCCATTACGACTTGTCGAAATTACCATGTCTGTTTTCTTAGAGTCTGTCTAAATTTTTTCGATTGGACAGATTTCTGATATCAACGCCCAGGCCAGACAGTGCGTGCCGTGAGCCCTGAGCTTACAGCCCGACAGAAGCGCAGGCAGGGGGAGGGGCACCGGGGGCACGTGATCTCCTCCCCTTAGGCTCCGGGCGTTTGCTCCTCGGGACCTACAACTAAGGGCCTGACTTGAGGATCCGAAGGTCGGAAAGACCGGCCGGAGGTCGCATTCAGGGGTCCCGGCCGACAGTGCCGTGCACTCCAGTGCTAGCCAGAGGGTCCTGCACGCTGATCAGGGATCCCTGAGTCGACAAGGGCTATATGTCCGGAGACACTTCCAGTAACGCACAGTCTGCTCCGTAGCAGCGTGGGCCTGTGGGCCTATTTTCCAAGCAGAGACAAAGCCGGAGCCAACGATTTACATTGGTCGGGCCCCAGCACCTGTGAAAGCACCATAGCACCCAACGGGGACCCTGTCTTAGCAAGGGGCCCTCGAGTCGGCCAGAGGCAGTGTTTGTGAAGACCCGAAGAGCCTGGAGGGCCGACCGGTTTCGGCGACCAAAGGTCAGATTGAAGAGCCAAAAGGAACCAAGGCTTGGCCGGAGTCTTATTCAGGAGCCCCGACCTGCACGGACGGGTCCTAAAAGGACACTCAGAGGGCCCCTCGCGCCGATGGGGGGACCCCTAAGTCGATATGGACCTAAATGTCGGTCAGGCGCCAACAGCACCGCACAGTCGGCTCCGTGTCGGTATGAACCTGAGGGCCCACTTCCCAGCCAGTCGCAAAGCCGGGACCAGTGATTTACAGTGGCTGGGGCCCAGTATCTGTCAGAGCCCGAAAGGCTGGCTGTAGGTCACATTATGAACCACCGCCCGTAAGGCCGTGACCTCAAATGTCAGTTAAAGGGTCTCTTCAACCGATTGGTGACCACTGAGATAGAGCGATCCTCCATTTTGGCCAGAGATCCCCAACACTGAAGTCATAGTCATTATGATAGGTAAGATAATGATAACGAAGAAAGCATTTTTGTCATTAGATATGTTACTGCATAGATTAAAAGCAGATATGGAAACCAACAAACATATTGCGTTGCAAACCTTTAAACTCGGTGCCTTTGATAGAAAATGGACAAGCTTGCAACGAGCGCTTTAAAATGTTAAGTGACGTGACAAAAACGTGAAATGAGGTCTCCTACCACTCGTGAAACGGCGCAGGAGCCAGTGATGTGAAGTATTTAGAAACGGTCGTGCGAGTTAACAGCGTGTTTTGATGCTAGTTGGGTTTCGTTGGCATAAGTGTTAGCATGTTAAGCTAGTGCAGTGTTGTGGTTTGTTGTCCTAAGTTGCACAAAAGTAGTGCAGAAATGGGTACAGTGAAGGTCGACTGAGGGTTTATCGCTTGTGATGTTCATAGGGTCGCAAGATTGGTGTTTACAATGTGACAACTGCAGTAGCAGAACAGAAAAGCAGTGTATGAAGGAAAGTAACAGTGTATATACTAAGATGTGAACACAAATGAATAGCAAGCCCTCCCCCCTTCCGAAAAAGCAACACCCAACAGTCGGCTCCGTTTCTGTCTTAGCTCCGGGGGGGGGGGGCATTTCCCAAGCAGGAACAAGGCCGGGGCCGCGATTGACATCGGTCGGAGCCCCTGCAACAATGTGGGGCTGCTGTATCGTTCAGTACCCACAGTGCCTAGCAGGGTATTGGTGTCACCAAGGGGCCTCAAGTCAGTCCGGGGAAGACTTGCCCAAGAGGGATGGGGATGAGACGCCAACGGAGGCAATGGAAGGGTCCTCTGCCAGCCAGGGCTCCCAGCACCGAACAGTGGGCCCTTCCGCCCAATTCCAGCATGGGCCCGTTAAGCCGCAATGGAGTCTGTGCCAATTTTGGCCACCTGCAGCAATCAGAGATGTTGTTGCGTCAATGAGGGCTCCTGCGTCGATCCGGGGTCAATGGCACGGATCAGAAGGCCTCTCGCGTCAGGGAGCGGATCAATGTGATATGGTGTATCCCTCTAAGGATATCCGGATCGGCCAGGGGATCTCGCCCGGTGCTCCCAAATGAGAACCAGTAGACACCCCGCGTTGGGACGGTATGGCCCTTCAGCCCTTAACCGGGAACAATAACGTACCCCCTTTTGTCCTACTCAAGGAGGCCCCTTTCCCCGGATATAAAGGGTGTCATTTTTGTTGAATAGAGTGGGCCGAAATGAATTAATAAATGAACAAGCCATTCCATGTTTGCCTGAGAACGTTCATTCTTTTGAAGAATTGACTGGTGAAGCAAATTACATCAAAAAGTTTTGAGCCTGCCCGCCCGTACTCTTACGAGTACTCAAGCACTGTTCCAGTCCGGCTCTGGGTTCCTTACCGGGCTCTGGGTTCAATACCGGACCCTCGTTAGGCACTGTGGTCCCCTGACCGACACAGTAGCCACTCATGAGTTAGGGGCCCTGACCAGTAATGCAAATTGCGTATCTCGGCCATGTCCCTGTTTGGGAAATGAGCCCTAAGTCTCAAACCTGACTCTGAAGTATG